TAAAAACATTTCTAAAGAGAAAATTTCTTTCTTTCTACAGCAAAGCGTTAAATACATCTATATAATTATGATAAGAATCTTAAGCAACGTTACTGCCTAATACTAATATATTTGGTAATGCATTATCAAAGGAGTCAGTTTTTATTTTTAGACATCATCTGAGGGATCAACCACGTGCGCGCTAAACATTTCTAATTTTTTATTCGAAGAGTCGTTATTGGAGAAATTCTCAGTTCTAATGATTTTCACGTGGAAGGGACGATCAACCTTGAAAATTGGTGGTGGTGGTGGTCCGTTCAACGAAGCCCCAACTGCAAATATAATATCTACCAAAATTGTTCAGCAATTACTATGTAGTCCAATTTCCAACAACATTTCATGTATAAACATCCTCGATTCAATTAGCTTCTTTTCTAGCGACAGTATGTTTATAGAATTAATTTAAAATCTAATGCGATCACAAATCAATAGATTACGATAAAACATTATTTAACATAGTATGATGGGAAACATTTGTCCTATGTGTTTATTAGAACCAAGTTATATTTTTTTGTATAAATTATACGTTAAGAAGTTCGGTTAAGCAAGTTTTTTTATGATATAAGTTAGTAACGTAAACGTAGCAGTTTTACACGCATACGAGTAATTAGTAACAAATATTGTATTATGATTGGAGCATCGCAGATTTAGGATTACACTTTTCTTTATTTTTTTCTTGGTTTTTAGTTTCTTTTTTTTTAAGCTAAGAATATTTTGTTCATTTTATTCAACAAAGCTGGTTTTCCTTAACCATGATAAAAAAAAATCTAGATAAAAAATGGTTCAAATGTAATAGTGAATAAAACTAGATATCTATTTTTGTTGCTAAAATAAGTTTGTTCATATTACTAATACAAATTCTAAAGAGAAAATTTCTTTCTTTCTACAGCAAAGCGTTAARTACATCTATATAATTATGATAAGAATCTAAAGCAACGTTACTGCTTAATACTAATATATTTGGTAATGCATTATCAAAGGAGCCAGTTTTTATTTTTAGACATCATCTGAGGGATCAACCACGTGCGCGGTAAACATTTCTAATTTTTTATTTGAGGAGTCGTTATTGGAGAAATTCT